AACGACTGAGCCACCCAGGCGCCCCGCATGAAACAAGTATTAACATGCAATGGATTTGAAGTTTCAAGCAGAGTAGAAAATGTTAATTTATTCCTTAAGTCCTTCGATCTTCACCCTTAATACTGTCTATAATTCTTGACTCTAAAGGGAGACAAAAACAGGCTGTGGTGGTAATTTAAGTAGGTCATTGACAGAGGACAGTTTTAAGAAAACTTTTTTAATGAACTGATTTCTTCACATGTAACCCGGTGTAATATGGCAGCTCAATAATACAGGAAGCTTTATGTCAAAGGAAAAGCCTCAGCTGTAAACGCTCAAGTCTGTCTTTGCTGTCCCATTATGATAAGGTTTTCTGAAAAGGAAAGATTATTCTTGAAGGGAGTGCTCTTAGATAAACTTTGAAAAATTTCCTTCTGCTAGGTTACTGATAATACTGTTGTGTTTACATATTGGCTTTTCTTCCAAAGAGGCCTAGAATATCCAGACATAATTTATCTTTTTATGTGAAAAGTAAGGTCTATGAAAAAATAAAGTTTCACTTTTAGTAGACGTAGAAACAGAGCAGTTACATGATTTCTCGAAGGTCATTGGCATGATGTGAGGAGATCACTCTGCTAGTTTATGGTAGAGTCAGAAAATTCAAAACTTAGATATAACTCTAAAACCTGCGTTCTTCAGTTTGTTATGTAGGGACCAACTTTGATCAAAGTTCCTGTATTTCCCCCCCCACCTCCGTGGAATAGCATGCAACAGGAGAGCAACAGTAAGCCCATTTCCAGACTCATTGGTTTTTATTTCTTTCATCTGACAAGTTTTTCAGAATTTTTACCTCAGATTAAACCTCCAAGTTCTCCCTCATTTAATAATGGGCCATTTATTCAGATCATACTTTCCTGAGGAGCCTGAAGTAGGTGATCCCTTTCCTGTTTGTCTACTCCCCTCCTAGTTGGCAGAAGTCTCCATTCACCTAGAATATCTCATCTCATTTCTTCTTCTTTTATAACAGGGTCTGACCTTGTCTTTCCTGTTAGCCTCTTTACTTTTCCTCTTCTACTTGATCAGGACCGAACGGGAAGCACTCAGCTTTAGCTTTCATTTCCTTACAGTTTTACACCTTCCTGTGTTTTGAGTATTTGTCCACTGCTTTTGTTTTTTTTTTTTTTAAGATTTTATTTATTTATTTAGACAGCGAGAGAGGGAACACAAGCAGGGGGAGTGGAGAGGGAGAAGCAGGCTTCCCGCCGAGCAGGGAGCCCGATGCGGGACTCGATCCTAGGACTCTGGGATCATGACCTGAGCCGAAGGCAGACGCTTAACGACTGAGCCACCCAGGCGCCCAGTACCCAGCATTTTATTCAAATTTCATAGGGTCTTGAATTACTACCAGTTGTTTTGGCAGTTTTTAAAGCTAAATTGCGCTACCAAGAATGAATGATACTGATTCAGGAAGGTTTTACTTATGGTGCTTTGAATAGGTTGATTATAAGGAGTACATGTTCAGTTGAAGCATGAAACAAGTATTTTTTTTTTTTT